GGTGGATGTTAAACATTACACATTTTTTAATCAGCGGGTCCAGATAATTTGTATCAAAGAGTTTTAAAAGAGTTGGCTAAGGAGCTTTCTGAATCATTGTTGATTTTTAATAAATCTTGGATTGCTGAGGAAATTCCAGAAGCTTGGGAGAAAGCTAAAACTGTGCCAATTTTTAGAAAGGGTATATGGGGTGACTACAAAAATCATAGGCCTGTCAGCCTGACATCTATCTCAGGCAAGATAATGGAATGGCTAATATGGGACATGATTAATAGAGAATTAAAAGAAAATAATATAATTAATGCAAATCAACATGAGTTCATGGAAAACAGATACTGTTAAACTGCTTCATATTTTTAGATGAGATTACAAATTGGATTGATAAAGGTAATACAAGGGATGTAATAGTCACCCCATGACTATAGGTTAGGCAAACTCTCAGAGTTTCAGCATGAATGCTACCCTATGACACAAACCACAGCAGTTAAAAACCTAGCAAATTCAGATCTTTCGGAACACTCCCATCATTGATTCAGTATGTTGGGGCTGAGCTGATCAGACAGGACTCATTGGGTATGTCCACATTGCACGGCTATTTTGGGATACCCTGCGTCTACACAAGCCGCCTGTTATTTCAAAATATTTTTTGAAATAACGGGTCCACTATTTCAGCATCCCGCAGTTAAGGGATGTCTCGAAATAGCACGTTATTTTGAAATTTGGCACTGCGTAGGTGCAAATTGCATATCTTATTTTGAGTTTAAGGTGCTGTGTAGTAGCACCTCTGGTGTGCTAAAGTAATAGCATGTTTGATTCAAATTCTGTAGGCCGATAGTACAGGCAGTCCCTGACTTATGCGGATCCGACTTATGTCGGATCCGCAGTTACAAACGGGGCTCGCCCCGGAGGACACGGACTGCGGGACCTCGCGGTCCTGCGGCCCGTGTACTCCGGGGCTTTCTCCGCGTCTCCCTGGTCTGCAGACCAGGAAGATGCGGAGCAAAGCCGCGGGGGGGCACGGGCAGCGAGGCAGCCCAGGCGCGCCTGGGCTACTCCGCTGCCGGCTTCCCCAAGGCTTTGCAAAGCCTCGGGGAAGCCAGCAGCGGGACAGCCCAGATGAGCATAGCATTTTAGGATGTCAGAACAAGTGAAAAATAATGCTGTAAAGAAACTATAGAGAGAAAAGTGATAGAAATGTAGCCGTGTTAGTCTGGGGTAGTTGAAGCAAAATGCAGGACAATGTAGCACTTTAAAGACTAACAAGATGGTTTATTAGATGATGAGCTTTCGTGGGCCAGACCCACTTCCTCAGATCAAATAGTGGAAGAAAGTAGTCACAACCATATATACCAAAGGATACAATTAAAAAAAAAGACCTTTTACATCTGCACTTGAAAGGGAATCCTCTGAACTGTCATTCATGTTAAAATTCGACACTTGCCAACAAGGACTTAACAAGAATTTGAACTATCTCACCCATTACCAAGACAGTTTCCCCAATTATCACCTGTAATACCATTAACTCACAAACATCCCACTCTCCCTACCTTTAATATCAGCAATTCACAGACACTTACCTTCCTTCCTCCCCCTTCCCACCCCCCCGCATCCTCCTTCTGTTCTGCAATGTGATTTGTCCTTTTCATATTTGTTCATTTTTTTTAAATTGTATCCTTTGGTATATATGGTTGTGACTACTTTCTTCCACTATTTGATCTGAGGAAGTGGGTCTGGCCCACGAAAGCTCATCATCTAATAAACCATCTTGTTAGTCTTTAAAGTGCTACATTGTCCTGCATTTTGCTATAGAGAGAAAGGTAGTGAAGTACCTGGCTTAGATCTAGGAGAGAAATAATCCCTTACCTGGCATGCACGCTAAGCTGTTAGTTCCAGTGGCCCATATTGTGTTGGCACTTCCTTGACAATCACATTTGCAAGCTTTACTGTGCCAGTGCTCCAATCGGTCCTCCTAATATCATACAAAAGAGACCAACAAAGATGTTATATGCAGTGAGATGAGACTGGGCCCTGTGTGACAAACTGAGGATTTCATTCACGTTTTTATGTTGCATGTGAGTTCTATTATCCTAATCCTGGGTGTGTGCCTCAGTTTCCCAGGGCACTACACCAATACCTCCATGGTGATGGGAATTTCGTGTGTGAAATCCTCCCGCACATACACAGTGATTGATGCCCTTACTAACCTGAGCTCAGGGCAGGGTGTGACCAGGTGACACCTTTTGTCTGGGAAGCAGGACAAAGGCTTGAGGAAGAGCCTGGCTGGGGGATGGGGACCTGCATAGGTGGCTGGTGAAGGTAGGGCCGGAGGAGGCAAGTCCCCAACCGTGGCCCTTCCGCTCAGGCCATGCCCCCCATCACAGGGAGGGCGGAGGGTGCATACAACTTGAGGCTCCCCAGCCCTGGAGCACAGGGAGGGCAGGCACTGGGGGCAGCAACAGTCTGTCCCCAGAACACCTAGAGTTGGTGTTCTGAGGATGGAGCGCAGGCGGGCCCAGGCTGGCAGTTTGGGAAGGCTGTGCCTTCCCCTGCCTAGCATAGCAGCCACCTATAGGGACCTTGCTGCTGGGAGTGAAGCAGTCTGGGCTGGCTTGGGGCACAGGACAAGAGCCAGGCCCTAGCTTTGGGGGTCCCCCTCCCAAAAATGGATTGTACTGACTGCTTCTGGTTTCTGTGCTGACAAGTCTGTTCTAAGTTGTGTCCCTGTCGACTAATAAACCCTCTTGTCTACCTGCTGGTTGACAGTCAGATCTGACTGCAGATGAGTGGGGAGGGTCCCCCACACTTCGGTAACACCCTGATTCTCCAGTGCCTTGAACCTGCTATAGCCACTTACCTCTCTCCACTGTGAGTGCAGAACAGTGTAATTGTGCTGGGGAAGCACTTCATACTTTGCACAGAAAAGATGACACAAGGCAATGGAAAAATCAGACCCACTGTATTTGTAGAGATTTGCCAGTAAACTTTATTGTCCTAGAATCTGTTCACAGTTCATGTAAAGCTTTTAGTATGCTACAAGGGCTTGACCCTGCTTAAACTGAAGCCAATACGAATTTTATCATTCAGTGGAAACAGAAACGGTCCCTAAAGTTGTAGGAGCTGAGGGTGAAATTCATTCCCGTACAAAAATCCAGACAAGATCATGATCATCAAAGATCACGAATGGCACTTATGTTTTACTATACAGGTGTGAATTGCACCCCAAATAAATAATGCCATCTAATGCTGCAAGGTATTACTAATGGAATTCGTGAGATCACCATTAGTGTAACCCAATTTGATATATTTTTGTCTATGCATCATGACTATTTAAGAAAGTCTTCAAAAAAGTATCTGTGCTAAGGAACCAGTTAGTATTCTGAAACCCAGGGCTAGATCATACTCTTTATTAAATTGGTATAAATCCAGAGAAACTCAGCTGACCTCCATGGAGTTATACCGGTTTGATTTACACTAGTGCCACTGAGATCTGAATCTAGCCCTCAAAGAGTGTATACTAGGATCAATTCTCAAAATTGGATAATATATCATGGCATTATTGCACGGGGATTTGTAAGTCAGTGAGTGCTTCAAAATTGTGTTAATGTCTTAACCAAGCTTGGGTGGTATCAGAAAACTGTGTTTTTAGAGAGCATGTAGTAAGGATGACTGAACCATAATTAATGTCCCTTCCATTCTTGTAAATGTACAAATAATTTGTGACATTGTACTAGCGCTGTATGATATTTATGAAGCTAGCATTGTGCTCCCCACTATGAGAACCTTTCTTTGTTGAGGATTTTTAATCCCTCCACATAAATGTGCACATGGGTGCAAGACTGAGCCTGCATCAGTGTGTCTTACACTGGTAACCTACTCGAGTAAGTCACACAGATACAAGCCATGTTTTGCACTTGTGTAGAGTGTCTAAGTTAAAGGCATATACCAGTGTAACTGCATCAGTGTGGTTATACTGGTGCAAATGGCTCCATTCTAGACAAGTCCTCAATGTTCTATTTTTACCAGGAGATGGTTTGGTAACTATCAAACAAATGGAGTACGTAATTCTAAGACTGCTACCCATAATTCATATTTAGACATAAGCTGCAAATATAGGGGCCAATTCTGCAGCATGCTGAGCAACCGGAGCTCCCACTAACTGCAACAGGAGTTTATATGGTAAACACAATGTAGATTTGGGTCCAGGGAGTAATTAGATAATATTCAGATAAGCTTAATGGGCTTACCTCTCCAGGCGACAATGCCAGCGTGGCTGTGTGGACGAGATAACGAAGCATAGTAGAAAGAATAAAAAGAGAGTTAAGAATGAAGATGCTGAGAATGAATCTTGCTGTTCTTAATTCACCACTTAGGGCTATAATGTGGTTTTTGCTTTAACAATGGACATACAAGGAAATGAAGAACCTCTGGAGTGTGAAATACATTTCATATAAACTGACTTCCATGTGCTAGCAGAAGGATATGGACTATTGGGCAGGAAGAACACTCTACAAGGGTGAAATCCCAGACCATCTGAAGTCAATGGTAAAACTCTATGTATTTATACTACAATCATTTTGTGTGAGTACAATGAAAGAAATTAAGTTGAAACTGCACCCACTTAATCAATATTACACAGCAGACTAGTTGTTTTCTAGCTGGAATGCCTCAGACAAGATCATTGTGGCCCATAAAGGGAAGATTTACAGTTTTCTAAAATTCTCTGATCTTGCTTATCTTCGGCATCCCCCTAAACTATGCCTTCTTGCTGATTACAGGCGTACTTCCTCTCCCATTGAAATTAGAAAGAGCCTGTTTATCAACTTTAGTGGGAGTTCAGTACAGCCCTATCAGATTTGCCCATCCAAAAAGAAACAGAAAAAAATACCATGTGACTGATGAAAGCCAACAGACACAACTTGAATGTCAAATGCCTGGTGTCCATTACCTGCAGTGAACTGGCAAACTGTTGGTGACCAAACCATAGAGCAGAAAAAAGTGAATACGTTTGAACAATGAGGAAGTAGACATCTGCAAGCACATGTTCTGTAAGCAGTAAAAGAGACTCTATCAAATAAGATAATCTCTGTGAATTGTTCCCTGAGCTCTAGGTTCAGATTATTCACTCGTACAGGGAGCCATAGTTGCATCTAGCAAGGTTCAAATAATGCTAATATTTAATGATGCCTTACATGTATATAGCAATTTCCAACACAAATTATTCCCAAAATATGCAACATTTGTTTTAACCTCAGTCCCAAGTCAGCATTTCTGATGGCAGCAATTTGCACAGTGACAATGCCAGCTTTATGTGAAATAGTGGTAAATTTGGGTCTAAAAATCAATGATGCACCTTACAATCAACTACAGCTGAGACCTTTGTGGGCCACAAGCCTTAACCTACTCCTACTGAATTCAGTGACAAAACTAAAACTCATTATAAATGGAAATTGGATGTGCACAGGCTAAGAAAAAAAAATAGAGACCTCTGGGTCCTTTGTAAAGAATAAATTAACGATAAAAATGTTTAATTATGCAATTCAAATATTTTAAATTATTTCAGCACAAATGACTGAAATATGAGCAGTATCATCAATGCAAGAGCAGACCATCAAAGTCCTTTCATATTTTGGTCCTAAAGATACAGTGTGTTTCAGATCCATTTTGTGCTGTATTTTACTGCTTTTAATACAGTGAAAATAAATGGTCAGTGTCAGACAGCGGCACACAACATATTTACACAAATGCTGAGCAGATGTATTCAGTTTGCTGACAAAACTTAGCTTCTTTGGTTTTATTTCTGTAACTTAGTGACCCAAAATGCACAAACACTCAGTGATTTTAGTTTTTATTCTATTTGATGGTGTTTGCGTCTGGCTAAATCTCAGAGGGCATGTCTACACTAGGAAATTATTTTGAAGTTACTAAATTTGAAATAATAACTCCCGAAATAACTATTTTGAAATAAGCTTATTCCCCCAGAAAAGCAGGAGTACGGATTTTGAAATAACCAGCCTCTTATTTCGAAATAACAGGATTGGTAGTGTGGTCTCTCTGCTTATTATTTCAAAATAAGCAGGGTTATTTCAAAATAACTCCTTAGTGTAGACCAGGGCGGAGTTCTTACTCCTTGCTCAGTAAAAGTACCACTGACTAGCATAAGTAGCTTTGCCTCAGTAAGGAGTTAAATGTTTGGTCCATTCTGCTGCATATGACATCCATTTTGTTAAGCAATGAGGCATACCTACTTTCTATTAATTCTAGAACTGAACCTAAATCAAAACCATGGGCCTGAACACAGGGCCGGCCCGAGCCTTTCGTATGCCCCGGGCCCCAGGAGCGTGGCACCGCCCCCAGGAGTGCGGCGCATGTGTGGCCCCGCGCTCGGGCGCCCGGTGCATGCGCAGCCTAACCCCTGGGGCATCGGCGCATGCCCTGCCCCTGCCTGGTCCAGCAGACCCGTGCGGCGCACCCTACAATGGGGCACCCCGGGTGGTAGCCCAGTCAGCCCGTAGCTTGGGCCGGCTCTGCCTGAACATCCACAAGCACTGAGGATGCCTGCATTTGATGCCTTAATGGTCATTCTGTAGAATGGGTTGACTCTTCCCTCTTCCCCTTTCCCACCTCCAAAATCCAAATGTTAGGGTACTTAGGTTGAGATATAAACTTTGAATTTGACCCCATCTAATTAGCATAATGACTTTACAGTTCTCCAATATTTTATACAAATGGATTATTTTACACACTATTATTTTGGGGGAAATCTTGGTTCCTTTGAAATCATTGTGAGATTCAGTGACAATGAGGTTTAGCTTGTGGTGAGCAGTTCATCACTTCAAAGGTAATTCAAGGACTGTAAAAGTGAGAACTCAGTAAGAAGAAGCCAGGAATTTATTCAAATTGTTTAGAAAATTGCAAAATTCAAAGGTTTTCAATCAAAATGGAACAATGTTTTCATCAACATTTTTGCCAAAAAAAAAAATCAAAGTTTAAATTTTTCAGCAGAAAAAGGCATTTGTTCACAAAAAATGTCGTGACTGTTTTTTGAACAGGTATAGAACCTGTTGAAAAACTCAGAAGTCCAGCAATTTTCTGTGGCAAGGGGATAATTGTTTTTGTCAAAAAAGTTTTTTGGTACCAGCGGTAAAATTTACTTTGGAATTAGAAGCAAAAAAAAAGAAGCGATTCTGATGTCATATTTCATGTCATACGAATGTCTGTGAAAAAGCCATCACCAGTCTTATACTGGTCTTACTTGTATGCATCCTAGATATTTTTAGGACTTGTGAAAAAGGGCAATACAAATGTATAGATAACAGTATATTGAAAATGTGAAATCTAGAAGTAGCTCCTCCCTCTCAATGCATCTATAGATAGCCAGCATTTACAGTAACGAGAAAATGAAGCGTTGTTGCAGCCTAGTCTCAAGCTATGAAAGAAACAGGGTGGTGAGGCAATATCTTTTATTAGCCCAAACTTCTGTTGGCGAGAGGGATGAGTTTTCAAAATTAGACAAAGCTCTTCTTACCACTGTTCATTTTGCCCCATCCTTCAGCTCTGCAGCTCTAAATCCTTTTTTCAATGGAGACCCTGGCGATCCATGGCAAGAAACCCTCCCTGGTGTCTGCTTGGACAACTCTGCAGAGGACTGTGGGATTTGGGTTCCAGCAAAGACCAATAGCTTGGTTAGCATACAAGTGCAGGTGGAAGAAAGGTGAGGGTGCTGGGTGCTGTCGAGAGTGGCAGATGAGGCCTGCTGAGGCTGACAAATGGCAGTGGTGCTTGGGCTGCTGAGTGGAAGGGGCAAGGGTGCTAGCGGCTTTATGGCCTTTTCTTCATGGGGCCATTTTATGCCTCTTGAAGTGCTGTTCCCTTAGAGCGGAGCACTGAGCAAATGGGAGGAGCAGGCATGAGGAGCAGTGCTAGGACTGAGCTGGGGCTCAGAAAAGGAGCAGCCTCTGGATGGAGAACTTCTCCTTCCCTCGCCTCATCCCTGTGGGCTCCTAGTGCTCATGCATTTTGCTGTGGGTTGTTGTAACCTAGAGGATTGCATTGGGTAGCCCACCTTGGGGCGCTGTCCCTCTGACTGAACAGTTTTGCTCTTCCCACACTTTGACTCTTCAGTTCAGGCTCGACTCACTGATCCCTGCTCTCTACCCCCACCCTCTCCTTCTCCTGTATAGGTCTGTGTCTTGTCTGGCTTAGATCTAGGTTGTACAGTCCTCCAGGCAAGAACTATGTCTTATTCTATGTTTGGTAAAGCACCATGTTCCACTGAGACTGAATAATTATTACAAATTGATAATTTTCTGTGTACCATAGCTGAGACTCTGCAAAAACTGCGGAGTTCCCTCCAGGTGGGACTTCTTATTATCCCTACATCTTACCTTATCTGTGCTGAATGTTTTGGACAATTTCGTTTTGTCCCTGGGAAATCACGAGTGGATCCTTGGTACGTACTGTGAATTTGGTGGCAGCAGTTACAGTGCAGACCCAACATTTAGCTTTTTAAAAATGTACATTGAAGATTGTTACGTGACTGAAAGCAATTAACTGGTGATCAGGTCAAATCAGGCGAGGTCAGGAACAAGAGAGATAGACTGTCGGGAAGCGTATAAGAACAGCACATTTAGAGAAAGCAGCAGAAAATTGCAGCCTCCTATGAAATGTCTAAAAGTTCTTGGGGAAAAAAAGATTTTATTGGGAAAGGCAACTGAGTATGGTCTAAAATGATACTGTTAAGAGGGAACAAATTTTTAGCCAAAGGAAAAGAACACAGTTGACAAAATGTAGAGAACATGGATAATATAAAGATTGCTTGTAGCAATGCATATTGGATAGACAGACACTGAAAAGATCCTAGAACATGCTTTCAAGAGGGATTGCGCTTTATGACAGATGTAATAACATATGAGATATTTATTTATGGAATAGAAAACCTTTTTAGATTATATAAAGCATGATTAAAATAGATCATGTTATATGATCAAATAAACTCAAGAAAATCAAAATATTGCAAGCATGGACATGTGGCAAATGTTTATTTTTGTTTATTTATTTGTTTCTTTACATGAACATTGTCAAACTAAAAATCTGCTTGGAAATATTTTGCCTTTTATTTGTGTAGATAACACCTAAGTATACCAAAAAGAGCTGAATTAGTAAATCATATTTTCTCTTTTTATACTTTGTGTTTTTGGCAGTACTTTGGGCGCAATCAATTTAATTGTTTCTCTGGTAAAGTTAGTCAGTTTCCCATCTTGTTTGAGTGAGTCACTTCACACAGTAACAGGGCAAAGAAAAATATGTTAAAATGAAAAAAATATGACAAAGAACTACAGAATGCTGATGGGAAAATGAAAGAATTAGGAGATGTATCTAAAACTACTTCTAATTCATTTTCTAAATTTGGTTTGCTCTCAAGTTGATGGCATCTCTTTAATGTCACAAAATATAAAAATTATGAAATGGAGTTTTATAATATAACACTTAGAGCTTGAAATGGTCAAGACACTGTACAGATATTATTTATTTTATCCTTTTAAGCCCCACTGTGAGGTACATAGATTATAAGTAAGGAGAGTCCTACAAAGCCATGGACGTACAAGTCATATCCACAGATATCTGCATCTGTGGATGTTGATGTGGATATCTGCAGTTCATTTTTTCAGATATGGATGTGGATGCAGATACAAATTTTGTACCCTGCTTCCGCAAATGTCAATGTGGATATCCGCAGCTCATTTCTGTGGATACAGAGATGAAGATAAAATGTTTGCATCTGCACAGGGCTCTATAGGTAAGTACTGCCATACCCAGTTTGTAGTAAGGAAGTGGAGCAAGAAAGCTGAAGTGAATTCTCCAAAGCCACACAAAGCACCAGTGGCAGAAACATGTTTAGAATATGAGACTTCTCCAACTCAGTGCTGTCTACCCCAGCCCATACTACCTTTTCATAGAGAAGTTAATAGAAGTCATAATTATGTACATGCGTAAAAGTCCATCCAAATGTATTCCTTAGTATTCAGCTGTCTGTGAGTCTTGAAAAGAAAAACAACATTGGGTCTATTTGCTGTTTTGCAGATGGTAAACTAAATACTCAGCACACCTGTAACTCTATTGATATCAGTGGATTAGCACAGGTATAAATGAAAGAAGAATTAAACCTAATGTAGTTGTATATTTTTCCATATTTTGATGTCTCCCATCCTTAAAATTATAATATTTGAGATGTTCTCACAGACTTGACTGTGTTAGGCTTATAAAATGAGTTCCTGAAATTATAAAACCATTGAGATGTGAGTCATATTTTGCTCCTAAACTACTTGTCATAGTCATTTTCAACAAGACAAAGAAATATATGAGTTTTCAAAAACAGAAATGTATTCTATATGCATTTGGTAGTTTATACAATGAATGTAATTAATAAGATGTAATCCAAATGTTAAGATTAATTTTGTATCTGTGGAATAAGTAATGTTATAAAAATTCAAATAATGCTTGTGTAATTACAGTATTAAATGCAATTCTTTATCATTTCCCCTCCCCCTCGTATCATGCAGGGCTGATTACCTGCTGACCACTCTACAAGAAGCGACTATTCCATCCGTGCTGCAAAAATCTAATAAACACTGTGGGATCTTTGGGGATATAGACAGACAACATCACACTGACTGACACACGTTCAGTGCAGTTCACCCCTGTGCATAGCACCAATCCCAAGACCTATGCTTCACTTAACTTCCAGGAAACCCTTTTTTGAGGAAATAAATGGCAAAGGGCAAGTGGACTGGTCTTCACTGCACAGGAAGAGAAATCCTGGCTCTCTTGAAGACTACCATCTTGTTAGTCTTTAAAGTGCTACATAGTTTTTCCTTTTGTTTTTGAAATCCAGAGGAATTTTGCCATTGAC